GTTTCTAGGAGGATGTATATACACCATCACTGATGGTAACAAAAATAGCAAATATTACTGACCATCTACAGCAGAACAAGCCCTTCGTGTATCTAATCATGCCTTGCTTAACATGGGGATGTGTTCTGAGAAATCCATCTTTAAGGGATTTCCTCTACATGAACACTGTCGAGTTTACTATACAAACCAGGATAACGCCTACTACTATTTAGGCTGTGTTCTATAGACTATTATTATCTTATAGGACCACTGTTGTATATGTGGTGTTTGTTGACTGAAATGTCATTATACAGCACAATTGCATCTACTCATTTAATTTTTTTTTTTGGAGAGGTTTTTGCTGTAGGGCGTTTTTACTGTAGGGTGCGTGTGCTTGCCAGACAGAAACAGAGAGACATAGAGACAGAAAGCGAGAAATCACCCCCAGGGGGTATGGCCACGCCGCAATCCCTTCTCCTCCATTCTCCTCTCGGGATCTTGGGCACGCACGCACACGCGCCCGGCGTTAGTTTTAAGCCACTGGGTCCAGGACTCGAACCGTGGTCGACTACATGGGAGTCCAGCAACATAGTCATTACGCTAACTGCTGGTCTCTGCTCATTTAATTTTTTAAATAATTACTGATTTAATTTTAGTTATTTTTTTTTATTAATTATTTATTTATTTAATTCCACTTATTATTATTTTTTAATTTGACTAGAGAGAGACAGAAAAAGGGAAAGTGAGAAAGCAAGCCACAGGTCCAGGACTCAAACCGTGGTTGGCCATGTGGGAATCCTGCACCTTTAACCACCACGCCACCTGCTGGGCCCTATTATTATTATTATTTTTTTTTTTATTTGGGCTCACAAGAGAGACAGAGAGAAAATGAGAAAGCAAGCTTCCAGATCTGGGACTCGAACTGGGGTCCCGCCATGTGGGAGTCCAGTGCTTTAACCACTATACCACCTGCTGACCCCTGCTCATCTGATTTTTAAAAAAAAATCCTGTTGAGGTGGGTAATATTATTATTCCCATCATTCAGATTCAAAACCTAGGGTACAAAGTGACTTGTACAAAGTCACACAGCCAATTACCAGTAAGGACTTGAACCCTGGAGAGTGGGCTCTAGGGCTTATGCTGTCAGTCACCAAGCTATAGCACTTGCCAAGGAAATAAGTCCAAGAAGAGGAATATGTAGGATGAAGACACATGAAAAAAGGAAATTTCCAGAAAAATGTTAAAGGGAAGTCCCCAAATCACAACTGAGTCAATGACTCTCAAGTGACTCTCAAATGACAAAATAGTGGGTGTGTCTGGACACATCTGGAAAAGATTTCCCACTTGTCTTAAAGTCTGCATGAACTAGTGCTCAGTACAGAGTAAAATTAAGCAAACAAAATATAAATCAACTATTAACATCAGGAACAACAAAAAGCT